ATGGCCATTAACCACCACCATTCACCTTGCCTCATCTAGGCGAACATTTTGATAGATCAACATCATCAAAACAACCCCAAAAAACTAATGCAATTTCTGTTTTTTTTTTTAAAGCCTAATTCGAACACATTATGAAGCAATCACACCTATATTAATTGATGGATCCCACGTTGTTTTTCCATCCAATGTTCAACACCATCATACGACCTTGGGCGTGCAATCAATTGAACCTTTTAATTTCTCGATCCAATTTTGTAGTCAAAATCAGACCCCAAAATGGACAGACCTTCAAACTACCAATTTTCTACTTTCGGCTGGGACCCACTCCATAGCAACGTCTCCATTGAATTCAGAATCATCAAAACCCCATGTGGTAGACCCCCATTGCTATAAGAGTCCGTTTGATTGTGAATGTGGAAAATTGGTGGAAAGAAAATGGATTTCAGGGAATTGAATTGTCTATAAATTGTTTTACTGGGAATTGTAATTAATTGTGTTTGATTAGTATAATTTTCCACCTGAAAAATGTTGAAAGTTCGGTGTCCGTGTGACTTTTTTTTTTGTTTTTTTGAAAATTGTCAATTAAAGTGATATTTTTTTCTACCATTGGGTATAAAATTTGTTTCAATTGTCAAAAAAAAATTATTTTTTTAAAAAAAAATTCCCATACCGAATATCATTCGTTTGATTTCGTTTTACATAGAAATTGTCAATAAAAGTAATAAATTTTTTTACCATTGTGTCTAGAATTTTTTTCAATTGTAAAAAAAAAATTAATTTTTTTAAAAATAAAACAATTCAATTTTGTCATGAAAATAGATTCCCACCACTTTGGCAAGAAAGTCAATTCCTTAAAAACATGAAAAATGGTTTGATGTGACACAAGCAATGAAAGGCAATTTCATGACAAATTTTGTCAATCAAACAAGTCAAAAAGTGATAAATGAAATTCATTTTCTATTTTCCTATGAAAATTAGGCTAATCAATTACAACCTTAATGTCTTTCTTATGAGAATTGAAAATAGGTTTTATTTATTCTACCGGTTTGTTTACAGGAGATGTGGTGAATTTACAAGAAATTGTTCTATTGATTTTTCATATGATTGTTTACCGTATCATGTAGTGGTGATGGTGGAGGAGGAGGAGAAAGAAAAGAGAATTTTTTAATT